ATATATATATATATACTAGAAGCCACTTGGACCACGCCTACACTTCTCGAGATCCGGCTACATATTTGCGGAGGTCGCCTATGTCGTAAACAACATAAACATAATGCCGATGGACCACACCCGGAGTATATATGCGCGTAAATATATATATGCAGAAAGAAGTTTTCTGTTATAACAAAGATTGTGATACGATATTAGTCTTCGTGACAACCAAAAAATATAAAATTAAAAAATAAAGATGATTCAACTTAAATTACACTAAACTATGAGTCATTAAAATCTTATTAAATATAGTTTATTTTTTATTAGACGGGTGATCATCGTGTGGGAAACATTAAGGCAATGTATGTATTACGTAGTATCGCTGCGTTACAAAATTAAAGAAAAAAGATATAAATTACATAAAGAATATTAATGATATATTTGGAGAGAGAAATTTGTTTCAATTTTAATTTCAATGTAAAAACAGAACTAGATACAAATTTAATTTTCTTCCGGTTCGATTCGTAAATGTAACACTTCTAGACCTCTGATCACAGTCATTCTCAAAATTCTGGATGATTCTATGGCTTTGTAGATACTAGCGGAAGATTCTACCTCTTCGTCATTGACATGCGTTACAATATCACCAGCTTGTAAACCTCCTCTGAAATTTATACATAAATATATTAAAAACAATTAATTTTGTAGTACAATATGATTTTTGAAACGTACAAGTGTGCTGGCGATCCCTCGTTGACTTTATAGATCAAAACTCCACGTCTGATGTTATACGGAACTCCTTTCAATTTTTTTTGCAATTCAAAGAAAAGATCGGGGGTAAGAGTGAGCATTGTGACTCCGATATATTGAGTTTTTGTACCAAACTGTGAATCTAGTATATTATTTTATTTTATAATTTTCCTATTAAATACTTTTTCGTTTTTTAATCTCAAAAATATCATACCTCTGCCTTTCTTACGCATTTCTGCTTTTTTTAAGAAATCTTTAGCATAATCTATAGGTATTGCAAAAGAAATGCCAGATGTTACTTTCATTGCATTTATACCAATTGCTTCTGCATCCAAATTAACCAATGGACCCCCTGAATTTCCAAACTAAAAAACCATTTTTAATAGCAAAATAATATGAATTAAAAATTATGAAATACTAACAGTGATTGCAGCATCTGTTTGAATATAAGCCATTTGTTTATTAAGAAGACCAAGTTCTTGACTGTGCCTGTTCACACTGCTAATTACACCACTTGTTATTGTGTTACTTAAAGCTAATGGAGATCCAATAGCCACTACAAATTCTCCTGGTCTAAGATTTGAGGAAGAACCAAGCTTCATTACAGGCAAATTTGTCTGTACAAAAAATAAATAATCATAATCTGAACATATGAAAACACATTATGTAAAAATCTTGTTATTATCTACAACCTTGTTAATTCTTACAGTTGCAAGATCACTGTGTACATCAAAGTCTTCCACAACACCATTATAAGTACTTCCATCATAAAGACGTACCTGTGAAATAGATTGCATAAAAATTTCTAAAAGAACACATGTGATATTAATTCCTGTAATATAAATATAGTTTTACAAAATCACAACAGTTACCTTAACAGTTGTATTAGGCTTAGCACTAACAACATGAGCATTTGTCAATATCAGACCATCTGATTCAACAATGAAACCAGATCCGTTGCTTATATTAAATGGTCTACCTATTTGGAATCAAATCTATTTTCTTATTGATAATTACTGAAAACTGCAATTATCTACACTTATCATCTAGCAGATTTAAATCTGCATTTACCTTTCTTGTTTTGAATCTCTATGTACACCACTGCAGGAGCTGACTTCTCTACCACATCGGCTATAAAATTATATCTATCTCTATTATTATTATTGTTGTTATTTCCATCCCAGGAAATTTGTTTAGCATGTATTGTGGACATCGGATTTATCAAGTTGCTGCGCTGATTCCAATAATCGTCCTTCCATTTATACAGAATATAACCAACACCGGAGAAGAAAATGGTACAAAATAAGGTATTTCTAATTGTTTTGTCGGAAATTCGAGATTTTTGATCCTGTGTGTATGAACGTTTGTACTGTGAAAAACGATCCACGCACGAGACTGTTAGAAATTGTTTATACTGGAACTGATTTCTTTTTAAAATAGACCAAGATGTACGTGTCAAAGGAGCAGCCATTTTTTGACTTCCAATGGTAGATGGCTATTTGTTGTAGTTTTGAACGTCAGTCCCGCGAAAGTGGATTAGTTAATGAAAATTAATGAATCAATATATTGATTTAAATCGTGAAAAAAAGATATCTGATTGAAACAAATTGAATTTTTGTAACAGAATTTGGTGAATGAAATTATTTTATGTAGTTATTATATGTAGTATACTATATTATATGTAACTCATATTATAACTTATAATATATAACTTATATTATGTGTAACTTAAGCCCAGACGGTTATTATAAGAACAGCTATATAAAACAATACTTGAGATCATAATGTAGGTACATAATACCTTACTTAATAATAATAACCTAATAATAACTTACTTGATTTATTTATAGAATTATACAAGATAAGGGTAAACATTTCAAATCTCTTTTATTGAAGTATAGTAAGCATATATTACATCAATAAGAAATCTTATGTACAATACAGAGAAAAGGATTTACAACTTTTACAATGATTGTACTATATTTGTTATTTCTTTGTATTTACAACTCATGTAATGTATTTACAGTTCATTTCATAATTTTATTTTTTTATGCACCTTTAGGCGTTGAGGTTTCTTCACTTTAAGCTCAGATATTACTTTTTCTTTTATTAAATTACTCTCCAATCTTTTCGATGTTTTTTTAATTTTAATCGTCGGTTCTCCCTTTCTTCCTTCAGATGCACTCAAATCATCTATCCTCTTTCTTTTCACGTTGTTGATCGTTTCTTTTTCATTACTAGTCTTGCGTTTTTTAACTTTTTTAATCTTCATCACGTCAGCATGAGTTTTTTTGTCCATATCACACTCTTTTTCAGTATGACCTATAAATAATAAAATAAATTTTGTATGTCGATTCATTATAAATTCATTCGATTCACTTTAATTCATTATAAAAATGAAAATTACATACCAGGTTCATTACACTTGAAACATTTTCCGGTAACTTTCGGCTTCTGACCGCATAAATGTTTCATCACGACACATCTTTTGCAAGTTTCACAATGCTTCCAATAAGGTTTCACACATCGTTTGCATATATTACAATGTTTATATGTGAGGCCATTTTTTGTGGTACATTCCTGACATTTTTTACAATGTTTATTTTCTTTAGCAACCCACTTCTGACATATTTTACAATATCTATAACCATTCGATTTTGGAAGTTCAACTGAGTTTAATGGTACATTTGTAAAAATTCGAATAGGTGAAGGTGACTTGGCATTGGAGTCTGTTATAAACAATGGGTGATTATCATAAGATACTTTGTAATCAGTCATTTTCAAATCCTTTAAGCCTCCTGATACACCAGGTGGATTACTTTTTTGTTTCATTATAGATTCCATAAAATATGGAAATATGAACATAATTTTTAAACAATCCTCTTCATTCTCTATATTATTCCATTTTTTGTAGAGATCAGAAATTCTTTTTATGGTCCAAGATATTGGCTCTACTCTACTACCAAATGGTGGATCACATATTAAGTATGTATCTTTTCCACCATTTTGTGTAAGAAAGTCTTTAAATGCATGGATAGCACTCTCGTTAAAAAAATGATTATTCAATAAATTATACCAACAATAACTAAGTGGCCCAAAAAAATTATGCTGCAAACAAAAGACAACTCAAATATTAAATAGTTTATACAGATTATTTAATGAATTACATTTTAGAGCACCATTTTTATTTTTTAGATCTTTTTGCATAATTGATAACAATGCTGATAAGTAATAATAGGAAAATATACACAAAATATAACGATTTTGAAAAAAAATATATGGTACCCCAAAATGAAGTTTAGCAAATGAACTAATGAGTTTAATAAATCATCTTTATACAGATTATTCTTCAATTAATAAATTTTTTAATGAACTTACGAATCTTCCATCAAAATCTAATAAGAGTGTAGACATTGTGGTTTCATAATTTTCTAGAATATATTCATGAATTTTTGGAGTACAGATACAAAGAATTTGTCTTGCTCTCAACTTCAGAAGTATATTCACTATGTCTTCTGTTGATTGTTTTGTAAAGAAGTACTGAGCCTCTTGCCTAGAATTTTCTAAGGGTTTCAAAATTTCTGTCGGATGCCTTAATTGATAATCTGTAAGACCTTCTTTTATGTCATGATTTTTGTGTTTGTTCATCATGTCTTTCTCAGCCTTAGATATCAGTTGCTCACAAGTATAGCAGTAACATCTATTCTCAGGTGATGCAGACATTATATCATTAAAACACACATATAATTGTCTATGACGATAACGAGATGTAAACTGTTTTCTTTCTTGTTCCCATTTAATAGTCTGCTGTTTTGTTAATTTCTCTCCTTCTTTTAAATAGAACTTACACATCTTTCTCTCGCGGCAAGCTGCACATACATAAAACTTCTCCAATTTTCCATTTTTGTACGTGCCAAATAATAAAGTTGGTCCTGTATTATCAAAATATCGTAATATCATGAGAACATTCTTCCTTGGAATTTTATGCTGTCACAATGTAATGTAAGAAATATTAATGAAAAATTACCATGCGGACATTGAGGATGTTTATTCAGATCGGACCAAAAGCACTCCATATCTGATATTCAATAAAACCGAAATTATAGAACGACTTAAATACAATTATCAACGTTTGCCATACGAGTAGAGTTGACCATACTTGTGAAGATATTTTATTTACTATATTATTAAATATTTATTTACGAGGCTTATCATCTTACGAATCATGCGCGAGACATTTGCTCCAGTGAAAACAAAGTACCACGTGGTTTGCAACACGAAGTTAATCGATTATCCTATCGAGTGCCGCTTTCGATTTTCGATATTATTTTGAATTATTCACAAGAACGTTTCTCACTCATAGTATAAATTTGAATATCGCGACCGCGAGTAGTAACACACGACGAATTATTTTTTAAATGAATTAATTAGAGTAACTGAACTGGAGAAAGTTTTCGAATTGATTCAATTAACGCGGGATAGTTGCTGTTTCAAAGTATGTATGAAATTTCAAAAAATTACTTTATAATACAGAAATTATTTCATTCAAAGTGGAACAGGGTATTGGGTGAACGTAACTATTACTTACAATTTAATGATTTAATTAATAAATCGTTTCCAATCCTTATGAATTTCAAATTAATTTCAAAAAGTTTGAACGAAAATTATAGTTTAACAATTCGCGATACGTTTAAAGAAAATATTTTTTAAATTTCATTTTGAATGAAATGAAGAAAACGTTGATTAGAATTATTCGTATTTTATTATAACTTTTTTCCTACAATCACTATGTTGTTTGCTGTATCACACACACGTGTGTGTGTGTGTGTGTGTGTGTGTGTGTGTGTTTTTTCGAAAACATAACTGTTGATAGAGTGTGTTGAAATAACATGTACAAGCAAGCATGGAATGATTATCCATAAAAAAATAAGTCAAAAATGTACAATAAAACTTTTTTGTTCAAGTTTGAAAATGTAGATTTATTTTTTCATGAGAGATCATTCCGTGCCTGCTTGTACATGTTATTTTAATACACTTTGTACATATACATATATTACATACATAAGGCAATTTAAGCCTCTACAGACTATAAACATCTTCGTGCGTTGTCTTGTTTGTAATGTTCTATCATAAAAATACAGATAATAATATATTATGTTACAATATTTGAAAAAATGTTCAATTTCAATTGGACCATAGATATACATCAATACAAGGAAACAAAAAAAATATATCTATATGTGTATATATATATATATATATATATATATATATGGATCTTCTGTTTTCTTCAGTTTTTTTTCTTCTTTAATACTGCATCGATAAATAAATATCTTATGGATTAAAAAATAAAATTATATTAAAAATAAGCTAGTCTAGGTGTATATACCTAGAATGAATAAATGAGCATAAAATTTGTGTCTCGAATCTTGCTAGAGCTAGTGAAAAACAGTTCTGTCTTTTGTATTCATTTCAAAGCATCTCTAAAGAATCTACAGAATCGACACATCCTTGTTTTCACTTTTTTTTTTTAATTTTTTCTCTATTTTTTTATCTTTTTTAGGCTGTGTCCAATCTGTTAGATTATATATCACAGACTATCCATTTGCAGTTGGGAAAAAACATTTACTAGAAAAACTCTTATGTTGCAATACTTTTACTAACGTGTCAGTGCAATTATGAATAGTTTACAGAATATCATCATAATTTAATTAAATTACTCATATGTACACACAAGGAATTCTAAACTTGTAACTCGTGTCGTTTAGTCTATATATCATATAAATCGCCATACATAGAATATTAGATAACAACACATACTGTTTTTCTTATTTTTTTCGTTAAATGTAATATGCATAATACTGTGCACGTGTACGAATACTGTGATTGTTCTTTTTCTGGAACCATTTGTATGTTTCAATCGTTGCAAAATTATACAGAAAACAGAATAGGTCATAAACAAAGCACCTTTTTCTTTTTTTTGTATATCTAAAATAATTTTTGAATTTAATCAATATTTCTGTTTCTTGATTTTGTTTGTAATTCTAAGACTTGCTAGTATATTACTTGCTAGTAATATACTAGTAATTTACTTGCTAGTATATTACTGTTAAATGTCTAGACTTTACAATAATTACTAGTCTACACATTATACATATTTTCAGAAAAAACCCACGTTCGCAAAACCCATCTTGTTATTATGTATTAACGTGCTGCTTTATTTGAACCAGCAATAGTAACATTGTTTCATTAAACTACTAACTTTAGGTAATTCTTTATATGTACATAATTGACTACAAAGCTTCATCATTCAGCTTGCTGCATGAACAAATTTTTGGTCTACAAATATTTGCAAGTTGCGTGTACACAAGAGTTTAGAAATTCATAAAATGAAAAGTTTGTAATATATCTATATGTTACAAATAAATAAAATCATAAAAAATAGAAAATTTGTTTATACAGCAAACGTTGGAGCTTCAAAGAATACTGGGATTAAATTTCATTGTATAAGCATATACGTATTTTTTCTTCTCTTTTTTTATCTTTTTTTTTTGTTTTTTGATAAATTCACAATTTCTAATGTCTAAATGCAACGCTAGGATTTCTTTGGTAAAATCCATAAAAAGGCTGTCGCGATCAAAATTTCATACAAATATGCCGAAAGCATAGCAAATAGATAATAATCAGTTCATGTAGGCTTCCATTGATGTAGAATAATAGAAAATTTCTTTGTAAGTAGACACAAGTGGATTTGTTGCAGATTAAATATTGACCACATTGTACTTTGGGAAATAATTTGTAGATTTTTTCACGTGAAAGAATACATAGAGAGTATCTTATCGATCAATCTTTCGCACGAAATTTTTGTTAGCAAGATGGCAGTAATTGAAACTCGAAAAACAATGAAAAATGTTCAAAGACGTGTGTCAAGATGTTTGACGTGATTTAGAAAATACTAAAGAGTAACAAAAACAAATGTTCAGAAACTTCCTATGCAAAAGTCTCTAAATGGCGTGATTTTTAATTCTTTATCTGCTATTAGACATTCAGATTTCCAACTATCTTCCAAAAAATTATAAAGCTATCAGCTTGGATTGACACGAATTCCATCTTTCTTGCAATTTTCGTTGCTGTTCTACGTGATGGTCTGAGAGATTTCTCGACACTCCTACCTGCCCTGTCTTCAGCTTCCTAGGATCCAAATTTGCTCCTAAAATTTGCACGCCTTTAGCAAATTTCGAGAAAGGCGACAAGATATCTTTGGCAGTAGTTGCCACAGGACTTGTTACATTTGTTACATTGGTCTTTATCAACTTTAGAGCAGACTCACTCTGAGACGATGTAATATTCAGACTTAAATCTTGCTCAGACGTGGATCTCTTCTTATCTTGCAATCTATTTTCAGTTTGCAATTTGTTTCCATTTATATTACTAAATGCTATCAACTTGCTATCAACCTCTCCAGTCGAATGACTAATGTTTTTGAATAGATTTAACGTCGATAGCGGTAACAATCTTTCCTTGTCCTCAGTCACGTTTTGTATAGTTATTTCAGGTGTCTTTTGAGGAGACGCGCTAACAGTACTAGTTCCAGAGCCGGATTGTGGCACGTGTAACGTTTCCTTATCGAAATTCTGTTGTATAGATAAATTTTGTTCTTCGATGTTCTCATGCGGTTTTATTACGTCTGTATTCTTGACACCCATTATAATGCCAATAGATGGGGTATAAGCTTCCATTAGGTTCTTATCGTGACTGAAATTCTCTGGCTTTTCTAAAGGAACAGGAGGGATACCAACGTCCTCGTCGCTACTACTACTGCCACTACCACATTTTCCTTGCACATTGCCTGATATATCTCTACTTCCAACTGTGAAAGTAGGCTTCGAAGGTTCCTCAGATTTTCTGCCGATGCTTCTTGCAATGTCAATTGGCTTCCTAGCACTAAAGCTATGACTTAACTTATTCAGTTTACTAAATTGCTCAGACATGTTGTTTAAAGCTTTTGTTCCTATAATCACATAAGATATTTTGCATTATTATTAATTATTAGAAATATAGATTCTTTTATTAAAAATATACCTGCGCTTTTAAGAGCTAGCAATTGTGTCTCTGAGACATTTCTGGTTAATTCTGGAAGTGATGAAATGTCCAGTAGACCCGTGGTTCCCTTACTATTCACTATTTTACTCTTTCGTCTATCTAACGTAACATTCATCGCTATAGGAATCTTTGGTAACCCGGCTATCTCCATCGCCACAGAGATAGCCTCGCAAATTGATTTTAAAGACTCTGAAATACACGAATCAACGTAGTAATCAGAAAGTAATTATAGATCTGATAAAAATGATGAATTCTACCTATGCTTTCTTCCTCGGTCTTTATAACAACAGCCATGTTATTAAAAAATCGTAAATTTGTACTGCGGAACATGTGAAAATAACCATATTCGTTGACCACCTTATAGTTTATTCTAATGCAATAAAAATGCTTATTTTTAAAAAGGGAGACCGAACTCTCTGGTTGACCAAATTCAATCAGTACAATGTCTTCAAGCGAAACTCTTTGATAATTTGTGACTTTATCGATTTGATCGTCATAATCAGCCATGTAATAGCTATCTCGTGTTAATATTAGAATAGTGTCCATTTCTGTCTCTGTTAAGTCACCAGTCCTGTTAAAATGAAATAAATTATAAAAAAAAATCCTTAAATATTATATAAATTAAAAAAAAGAAACAAAAATATGAACGTCCAACGTACACAGGATCAGCATCTATAAGACCCCAACTGCCTAAAATAACTTCTGGGTCAGGTATAAGCAATTTCTTACAGTCCTCTATCAATAACTTCACGTGAATCGCTGTAGCAGCATTATCTTCTTCCTCTGTGCGTTCTTGAAATACTTCTTCGTTCACGGAGTTCCCTAACATCAAATCGATTGTACCCTGTCTATAGACATCCTTGAAGCGATTTAAATAGTATCTGAAAGTACACGAGTTTCCTAAACTGTTGCTTTGAAGCTATGTACAAAAAGTAGAAAAAAAAAGAAAATGAAACAAAAAATGAAGATAGGACACTGTCGTAAAGGGATCAGGATAAATTGTTTCTCTCAGAATTGTTAAAATCAAACTGAGTTAAGCAATCATCATGCACATAAGAAAAGAAATCACGTGCAACGCAACTTCAAACTGATTGTAAACATGTAGATTCACAGTTCTGGTACAGAGTGTCGTTTTGTATCGTTGTTTGTTGATAAAGCAACAACTGATTCATAGTTTTTAAAATAATATACTTTATTTATCGAAAAATTTTCAACCCAAAGCCAAGAACGAACCTTGCCAAATCATACATAGCACTGGCATAAAGAATATCAGGATAGGTGGCAAGTTGAAGCTCTATGTTTGGTGGTTTCACGGGTATTAGCTCAAGACAGCAATTATCAAGGATGTCTAAATAGTGCGACCAATCGGTATTCAGTTGATTAACATCGACAGAGTTCCCTAGCAAAGTATCTATCGCCGCTTGACGTATGTCATCCATAAAGTGTTGCTGAAAATATCTATGGGAAAATGAAAGGAAAGTGTCAAGGATCTATGTAT